GACAATAAGAATGAAGAGATGAAATAGTTTATCTCAAAAATCATTTCAGTAAGATCGAAAAATTCAACACTTTTTATCGGCCTAATATTTTTGTCGTTATAATCTTTCATCTTGCTGGTTTCTTAAGTGCTAATGGCTTTCCCATTTTTAATCATATTCTCATAAAATGTGTTATAATTTGTGCCACAAATTCGTTTTCAGTATCTTTTTCCATTGGAAATGACGTTTTTCTCGCTGTATGCTGCACACTCTGTACACAAGTACCAATGATTGACCTTTTGCGCAGATGGCCATTTTAAATGAGACATTCAACAACTGACGTAATGAGTTTTTTGCTGAAGAGTCGGCATATTAAAGAGGCTCATCTTTTAGAAAGTTTGAATGTTGTTTACAGTTACAAGTACAAAATCGGTCCTTGTGATATGTCCGTGTGAACAGAGGTCCCGTGTTGGCACGAAAAAATTGCCTCACTGTTCAATGGCCTATAACAAATCTTGCAGCTATCCAACGGCAAGTGATAATATCTCCATATGATCGAAAATTCTCGAAGGGGACGGTAAATGACAAACAGCTACAAGCTGGCATTGTTATCTAAAAATAAGTAAATGTTGTGTATTAACACTCCCTCACCCCTCATAATAAATGTTGAAAAAGTGCCGAAAATCCCCAAAAATAAGTAATCTGATTTTCCTTGCAAAATGTACAACTGTTTCCTAAATAAAGTTTGAAAATTCTGTGCAGTGGTTGCAGAGGAGTAGCGCGCTGAAAAACATCTTGTATACATAGTTTTCTGTTTACTCTTTTATTTTACTTCCTGGTTGTATACCTCTCTGTCTGAATGTGGAGTAAGTATTTTTTCATATTCCGTATTTTTTCTTCGCTCTGATGTATCTTTACAGCAGGGGGGTGAAGTGGCTAATATTGGCTGCACATCGCTCAAGTTCTATAGGGTAAGAGTGGTGTCATCTTTCAAATAATCATAATAAAAATAAATTGACATAACTCTTTCATTGTTTTTTTTAATTAAAATCAGTTGAAAGCTCAAGTGAACTTATCACATTTTGTCTATCATCCCTAGATGTCTATCTGTCAGTCTAAAAATTCTTCACATTTTCTATATCTAGAGAACCACTAGAGCTATTTTAATCGAGCTTGTCATGCAGGCTTGTTCAAATAAAGGTTCACAATTTCTTTCAAAGGGAGATAATTCGGAATAAATGAATATTTGGTGGCATCTTATAAAAGCTTTTTCACAGACACAATGGCGAGAAATGTTTTTTCTCTGAAAATGTAGATTCAAGCTTGTTCTAGCTAATGTGATGAACGTTGGCTTGCAGCCATGCTTAGAGGTCTTTTGGAGAGCGGTAGCCGAGTAGTTTTACGATCGAGGTCTACGCCTAAAACCTCCAAAAAAAGCTTAATTACAGCTGTAATTACATTATATGATTACAATAAAATACAGTTACAACGAAAATGCTTATTGTGATTTCATGCTTACAACAGAATAAATTAAAATAAAATACCACACATTGACAGAGTAGATATGGCAGTCATCGAAACCGATGATACTCCATTTTCTTCTTTTAGGCACTCCTAATTCTGCCTTTAATTCTATTCAAAATAGACTTAATTGCATCGGAAGAACAAACATTCACAGAAATTGGGTTTCCTATACGTACATCTGGTGGAATTGTATGATTATGGTCTAAAAAAGAATACGAAACAACCTGCTAACGACTTTCATTCAGTAAATTTTTTTTTATTTTGAAATAAAATTTAAATGTCTTCGGTAAAACCAGGTCGACGTTGTTATATATCTGAAATGATTTTTTATAATTCATCAGTGCCAAAACATTCTGCATGTTGTCTGAAATATGTAGAAGAATTGTAAAGCCAAATTCGAGGTGAAAATGTATCATTATTTTGTTAATGAGAAGGTGGATTCCGGCTGAAATGTACACTGTTGTGATGATGCTGAGAATGGCTTTAGCATCATATCTTACCCTCATGTTTCTTGCGAGAACTTTATTATTGTCAAAGTATGTAGTAAGGTCATTATCAAATGGTATATTGATAGGCTTCTGGGAATGTTGCTCTATCCGATTAAGCAGAGACGAATAACTTTCTGAAGGATGAGTACTGTAATATAAATTGCAAACTGTCTTGCTGCTTAAAAAATAAATTCAAACTGAGATAAAATGGTAGGATAATATTTGTAACTGTAATAAAATACAAATGCTCAATGGCATACACAACGTCTTTTCCACATAAAAGATGTAAAAAACAAAAAAGTCAAAACAGCATCCCCGTTTTTCACCCAGCTGTCAATATCACATTTTTAGGTCACCTGAGTCACTCAGCTGACCTATTGCTATCCGTTTTCGTCCGTCGTCGTCCGTCGTGTGTTAACATTTGAACATTTTCAGCTTCTTCTCTGAAATCTCTGAACCAATTTCAACCAAATTTTGTATACAGCATCTATGGGTGAAGGGAAACAAAAATTGTGAATTTCATGGTCCCCGCCCCCCTGGGGTTTGAGGGGTGGGGCCAAACCACTAAAATTAATGAAATCTTTAAAAATCTTCTTCTTTACTCCTGGACATCAAGCAGGCAAACTGTGAGCATGATTGTAATCAGCATTGCGTCCTCTACCAAATTTTTGAAATTCATGGCCCCAGGGTCAGGGGTTCTAGTGCTAGGGCGGGGCTATAGAGATTATATAGTGGAAATGCATTATTTCTTTCAAAATCTTCTTCTCTGCTCCTGGGTATTAAATAAACTAGCTAAGTACATAGTTATGATGAGGAAGAATGTCCCTTTCGAAATTGTGAATTTCTTAGCCCCAGGGTCAGGGGTTCTGGTGTAAGGGCGGGGCTCTATTGATTATATAGTGAAAATGCATTAAATCTCTGAAAATCTTCTCTGCTCTGGGGTATTAAATAAACTAACTAAGTACATAGTTATGATGCACAAGAGTGACTCTTTCAAATTTGTGAATTTCATGGCCCCAGGGTCCGGGGTTCTGGTCTTAGGGCGGGGCTCTATTGACGATATAGGGAAAATGCATTAAATCTTTGAAAATCTTCTTCTCTGCTCTGGGATATTAAATAAACTAAGTACAAAGTTATGATGAGCAAGAGTGCCTCTTCCAAAATTGTGAATTTCTTGGCTCAAGGGTCAGGGGTTCTAGTGCTAGGGCAGGGCTATATAGATTATATAGTGAAAATGCATTATTTTTTCAAAAATTTTCTCCTCTGCTCCTGGGTATTAAATAAACTAACGTAGTATATAGTTATAATGACCAAGAGTGCCTCAACCAAATTTGTGAATTTCATGGCCCCTGTGTCAGGGCCGTTTTGCGATTTGGTTTAAGGGGAGGGGGCTCTTTTGATTATATAGTGAAAACACATTAATTCTTTGAAAATCTTTTCCTTTGCTCCTGGGTATTATGCCAATGATCTAAGTATATTTATTTATGATGAAGAAAGGTGCATCCAGCAAAATAGTTAATTACATGCCCCCTGGGTCAAGGGTATTGGGGTGGGGTGGGGGGTTACATAGTTTGAAAATAAATTAATGCTTTGAAATCTGATCATTAGTATTAATAAATCAACCATATTTGATGAAATAACATTTATGATAAAATTTTCAAAATTTTGAAATATGTGGCCCCAGTGTCAGTGGTTCCTGTGGGGTGGGGTGCACAACTGGTTTAGAATGGAAGTGCATTTTCTCTTAGTTACTCTGATCTACCTATGGGTATTAAGTAACTAATCTAGTAAGCATTGTTAAGTGTATAATTATGATAAGCAATGGTGCTTTTTTGAATTGTGAATTTCATGGCCTCAGCTGGTTTAAAATACAAACCAAATTCAATTGTTGGAAAGTTGTTGCATGATACTCAGGTGACCTATAAGGCTGGTGGGGCTCTTGTTAAAAGAAGTCTACACCTTTGTATTGATTACTTAGGTTACCATTTATGTCTCGACTTAATTTTGCCACTCTCCCGTCTACCGATAGCACTGGCTATTTTCTGCAAGTTTTCATACAAAATGTTATTTGTTTTTATCATGTTAACAACTTGTTAAAACATTTTAGTTATGTAATCCTATGTGCCTTTAGTACATCATATGGCATAATAGATTTAGATATTTAAATCTGTACATTGAGTCACCTGTAACCGTACATTAAGTTGACAAAACTCTCAATTCTTAACTTAATCGACAGCGTTTTGTCAACTTAATGTACAATTAAAGGTAACTTAATGTACAGGTTTTAAATGTTGAAAACAATACATAATTAAAATAGGCAATTAAATTTTTAATTTAATGCACAATCATGCATAAATATCAAACAATTGTATATGAAATGTTCAACTGTATATCATCTTTAGAAAAGGCAAATCCAATGCAAAAAAGACACATGTGTAAATCCTGATGAATAATAATTTTAGAACATCCACATCCAGAAGTTTCTTTATTAAAAAACAAACGTCTCATCCTCTTCACAAAATTTGTAAATGAATACTGGACGTGGTATAGATCCATTCCACGAATATTTAAAATATATCCAACAGCAATTTAAATTTTAAAAGAAAAACGCTTATTTCCAGATGAAATGATAATCTTACTAGATGCACTGCAGGTGGAATCATTTTTGGGACAGAGATCACACATTTTATCTTTTCATACACTTGCCATCATATGAATTCTTCATATTTTCATGAATTATTCCATTTACTCTCTGCTGCTATTTATTGTTGGTTCAATTGTAGGATCAAATTGTAATAGATTTGTGGCGCTTTTTTTCTGTTATAAGGCTGTTTAAAATTAAAACTATGTTTAACGTCACCCGCGCGCGTAGGTTTTGGAGAAAATCGTCTTTGAAAAAAACAAACAATTCGGAATTCCGTATCTCCGCTCCAGTTTGGTTCTACATTTAGCGACTCAATTGTGCATCCCTTAGTGACAGAAAATGTGCTTTGATACCTTAGTAGATGCTGTTTTGTGTTTTATTAAAAGAAAAGGAGTGAATTAGACAGTATGGGATCATAAATGTAAGTAAAAATAGATGTTTTATGATTGAAACTAATGAAAAAGTGTAGTTTGTTGATTTTTTTTTGTCAGTCTTCGAATCACATGTACCATGTGTACAGACTGTGACAATGACATACTCAGTTCGTGAATATTTTGGCTGAACTTTAGGAGAGGATTGAGAGACTTTACTGAGTGCAAGATGTGTAAAAAAATTATATACAGTGAGATGCATCATTTGAATTTTATTAAATACTTTCATATTTAATATTTCAGTCTGTAAAAATTTAAAGGAACAGTAATCAGGTAATGAGTAAGATAATTGATTTCTTCATAATTCATGTACCTACAAATAGCTACATGTTTTTGAAAGATAATACTAGTCTTTTCCATTTGAGCAGGGAGAAGCTTACAGAAGATAAAGCCTTTCAAGTGAAGGAGAGTAAGGAGAAAGTGGTTGGGGTATTTTAAGAAGTGAAGAACTCTGTCCTGTGTGTGGAATTCAAGGTACAAAAAATACAACGTAACACAATTCAATTTCAAGATATTTCAATATAAGAATGTATTAAATATTGTCATCATAATTTTATTGCAGATATTGATCAACTATTCCCACAAGAAGAAGCATTTCCTTACAGGGTACCATGGATGTGAGGCAATATAAATCTAAAGGACAACGAAGGCCTAGTTAAAAGCCACTTTCCTGCATATTCAGTCTACATTGTTTGCTCACAAAAGGACTCAAACAAATTAACATTCTAAGGAAAAACTCTGCCAGGAGAATTAAACTTAGGTGTCATATCCAATACTCTTATTACTCAGCTGTAGTGTTTTTTAATGTACTGAATAGGTTTATTTGAATAAATTCACAATTGTTTGAAATTTTTGTTTGTTTATTTTTTTCCTCCCTCCCTCTTAGGTTTTGAACTTTGGAGGTGACGTTAAACGTAGAATTAACTTTGAACAGCCTAAACTGTTTCCTCAAACTTCATACAGGGGGTCGCCGTTGTTGTTCTCAAAGAATGTTTCGTATCACAGTGTCCCTTAAATCCTGATTGTTAACAAAGATTTGCGATAGTTTTTGTCAAAACTTGAACACCAACTTCAGAATCTGCAAACCTACAAGCTGTGTCTACCTACTGTAGAATATTTACCACCCTTTGGCCCGTATTTTGGAGAAATATGTATTACTTTCTCCATCCGATGAGGACATCTTCACTCATGAAGCTTTACATGAGATGTGGTCAGAAATCAAGTGAGCTATCATTTAAATCTAAACTTACCTGGCACTGTCCAATAAGTTAAACAATACAGCTATTGTTTTCACCCCCCACTCTCTGGACAGTCAAGTGTGTTACGTAATCATAGCAAATACATAACCATCACCTGGAACAGTTTATTAAGTTAACAATAGAGAAAATGTTTCAAGTAGGATAAAGTCCTCAAACTGTCCATTCTGTGAGAGAAAAAACAATTCTCGGCCCTTCGGGCCTCGAACAGTTCTTTCTCTCACAGAATGGACTGTTTTCGGACTTTCTCCTTTACATAAACAAATATTTCTTGTTCTTCTTGCACAGTAACTTTGAAAACAAAGTGCTCCTCGGGCTGCACTGTTCGTATATACATACATCTCTTAGTAATGCACCCATTGTCCATTATAATGACAAATAGTTTTTGTTGCAATTTTGTAGATTTTATAGTCTTAGTCCTCAGTACAGAGGTCATGCTGCTTACAACTGCGTTTTGGCATGGTGTTTCTATATATGTAAATAAAATTAATTTAAAAAAAGACTGACAGAAACACACTTTTACCTTGGCTCGAACTCCAATCGCTCGAAGTGAACCTTGTGGCATGGAGTCCAGTATGAGCTGTTAAGGTGAAAAAAGTCCAGCAGATTGGATTTTTAACTTGAATAAAAAGCACATACACTCCAGATACCGAATTAGTCGCGAAGATTTTCTGACCAAACCTATATCTATTTGTTAAGGTAGGTCCCCCCAAAACACGTTGCCATCCTGGTGTTTTATAGTGGAGGCTGGGAATTTTATTTCCGGTTTATACCAAAGAAAACAAATATGTAAATTAGTTTATATTTTATTACAA